TAAATCTTACTTCTCCCTTGAGGGTATATGCTACTGTAGATGATGTACTTTTCTCTATTATCCTATTAAATCTTACTTCGTCCTTGAGGGTATATGATACTGTAGATGATGTACTTTTCTCTATTGTCCTATTAAATCTTACTTCGTCCTTGAGGGTATGTGATACTGTAGATGATGTTCTTTTTCTCTATTATCCTATTAAATCTTACTTCGCCCTTGAGGGTATATGATACTGTAGATGATGTACTTTTCTCTATTATCCTATTAAATCTTATTTCGCCCTTGAGGGTATATGATACTGTAGATGATGTACTTTTTCTCTATTATCCTATTAAATCTTACTTCTCCCTTGAGGGTAGATGACAATGTAGGTAAGATATTTTTCTCTATTATCCTATAAAATCTTACTTCTCCCTTGAGGGTATATGATACTGTAGATGATGTACTTTTCTCTATTATCCTTTTAAATCTTACTTCTCCTTTGAGGGTATATGATACTGTAGAAGATGTACTTTCCTCTATTATCCTATTAAATCTTACTTCTCCCTTGAGTGTATATGATACTGTAGATGATGTACTTTTCTCTATTGTCCTATTAAATCTTACTTCTCCCTTGAGGGGAGATGACAATGTAGATGATGTACTTTTCTCTATTATCCTATTAAATCTTACTTCTCCCTTGAGGGTAGATGACAATGTAGATGATGTACTTTTCTCTATTGTCCAATTAAATCTTACTTCTCCTTTGAGAGTGGATGATAATGTAGATGTACTTTTCTCTATTGTTCATTTGAGCTTGATTCTCCCAAGGGAAGCTGATAACCTAAATGTTCTGTGTAATTCCTCTCTTGTTATATTTGATCTTGCTTCTCCCTGAGGGAAGCTGATAACCTAAATGTTCTGTGTTCTTTCCTCTCTTATCATATTTGATCTTGCTTCTCCCTGGAGGGAAGCTGTTAACCTGAATGTTCTGTGTCCTTTCCTCTCTTGCCATATTTGATCTTACTTCTCCCTGGAGGGAAGCTGATAACCTGAATGTTCTGTGTCCTTTCCTCTCTTATTATATTTGATCTTGCTTCTCCCTGGAGGGAAGCTGATAACCTAAATGTTCTGTGTTCTTTCCTCTCTTATCATATTTGATCTTGCTTCTCCCTGGAGGGAAGCTGATAACCTAAATGTTCTGTGTTCTCTCCTCTCATCATATTTGATCTAGCTTCTCCCTGGAGGGAAGCTGATAACCTGAATGTTCTGTGTCCTTTCCTCTCTTGCCATATTTGATCTTACTTCTCCCTGTAGGGAAGCTGATAACCTAAATGTTCTGTGTCCTTTCTTCTCTTGTCATAATTGATCTAGCTTCTCCCTGGAGGGAAGCTGATAACCTGAATGTTCTGTGTCCTTTCCTCTCTTGTTATATTTGATCTTGCTTCTCCCTGGAGGGAAGCTGTTAACCTGAATGTTCTGTGTCCTTTCCTCTCTTATTATATTTGATCTTGCTTCTCCCTGGAGGGAAGCTGATAACCTAAGTGTTCTGTGTTCTTTCCTCTCTTGTCCTATTTGATCTTGCTTCTCCTCTGAAAGTAGATGATAACCTAAATGTTCTTTGTCATTTCCTCTCTTGTCATAATTGATCTTACTTCTCCCTGGAGGGAAGCTGATAACCTGAATGTTCTGTGTCCTTTACTCTCTTGTTATATTTGATCTTACTTCTCACTGGAGGGAAGCTGATAACCTGAATGTCCTGTGTCCTTTCCTCTCTTGTCATATTTGATCTTGCTTCTCCCTGGAGGGAAGCTGATAACCTCAATGTTCTGTGTCCTTTCCTCTCTTGTTATATTTGATCTTACTTCTCCCTGGATGGAAGCTGATAACCTGAATGTTCTGTGTCCTTTCCTCTCTTGTCCTATTTGATCTTGCTTCTCCTCTGAAAGTAGATGATAAGCTAAATGTTCTTTGTCATTTCCTCTCTTGTCATAATTGATCTTACTTCTCCTTGGAGGGAAGCTGATAACCTAAATGTTCTGTGTCCTTTCCTCTCTTGTTATATTCGATCTTGCTTCTCCCTGGAGAGAAGCTGATAACCTAAATGTTCTGTGTCCTTTCTTCTCTTGTCATAATTGATCTAGCTTCTCCCTGGAGGGAAGCTGATAACCTAAATGTTCTGTGTCCTTTCCTCTCTTGTCATATTCGATCTTGCTTCTCCCTGGAGGGTAGCTGATAACCTTAATGTTCTGTGTCCTTTCCTCTCTTGTCCTATTTGATTTTGCTTCTCCCTGGAGGGAAGCTGATAACCTAAATGTTCTGTGTTCTTTCCTCTCTTGTCATAATTGATCTTGCTTCTCCCTTGAGGGAAGCTGATATCTAAATATTCTGTGTCCTTTCCTCTTGTGTCATAATTGATCTTGCTTCTCCCTGGAGGGAAGCTGATAACCGTAATGTTCTGTGTCCTATCCTCTCTTGTCATATTTGATCTTGCTTCTCCCTGGAGGGAAGCTGATAACCTCAATGTTCTGTGTCCTTTCCTCTCTTGTCATATTTGATCTTGCTTCTCCCTGGAGGGAAGCTGATAACCTAAATGTTCTGTGTTCTTTCCTCTCATCATATTTCTGTGTCATTTCCTCTCTTGTCATAATTGATCTTGCTTCTCCCTCGAGGGAAGCTGATAACCTAAATGTTCTGTGTTCTTTCCTCTCATCATATTTGATCTTAATTCTCCCTGGAGGGAAGCTGATAACCTAAATGTTCTGTGTCCTTTCCTCTCTTGTCATATTCGATCTTGCTTCTCCCTGGAAGGTAGCTGATAACCTTAATGTTCTGTGTCCTTTCCTCTCTTGTCCTATTTGATTTTGCTTCTCCCTGGAGGGAAGCTGATAACCGTAATGTTCTGTGTCCTTTCCTCTCTTGTCATATTTGATTTTGCTTCTCCCTGGAGGGAAGCTGATAACCTAAATGTTCTGTGTTCTTTCCTCTCTTGTCATAATTGATCTTGCTTCTCCCTTGAGGGAAGCTGATATCTAAATGTTCTGTGTCCTTTCCTCTCGTGTCATAATTGATCTTGCTTCTCCCTGGAGGGAAGCTGATAGCCGAAATGTTCTGTGTTCTTTCCTCTCTTATCATATTTGATCTTGCTTCTCCCTGGAGGGAAGCTGATAACCTAAATGTTCTGTGTTCTTTCCTCTCATCATATTTGATCTAGCTTCTCCCTAGAGGGAAGCTGATAACCTAAATGTTCTGTTTCCTTTCCTCTCTTGTCCTATTTGATCTTGCTTCTCCTCTGAAAGTAGATGATAAGCTAAATGTTCTGTGTCATTTCCTCTCTTGTCATAATTGATCTTGCTTCTCCCTGGAGGGAAGCTGATAACCTTAATGTTCTGTGTCCTTTCCTCTCTTGTCATATTTGATTTTGCTTCTCCCTGGAGGGAAGCTGATAACCTTAATATTCTGTGTCCTTTCCTCTCTTGTCATATTTGATCTTGCTTCTCCCTGAGGGAAGCTGCTAACCTAAATGTTCTGTGTTCTTTCCTCTCGTGTCATAATTGATCTTGCTTCTCCCTTGAGGGAAGCTGATAACCTAAATGTTCTGTGTCCTTTCCTCTCTTGTCATATTTGATTTTGCTTCTCCCTGGAGGGAAGCTTATAACCTCAATGTTCTGTGTCCTTTCCTCTCTTGTCATATTTGATCTTGCTTCTCCTCTGAAGGTAGATGATCACACACATTTTGTATGTTATATTGTGGCCTTTTTAACAGGGGCATACTTCCCGTCTGTCCAATATAGCAGGGGCATACTTTATGTCTGTCCAATATAACAGGGACATACTTCCTGTCCGTCCAAAATTACAGGGGCATACTTCGTGTCTGTCCAATATAACAGGGGCATACTTCCTGTCTGTCCAATATAACAGGGACATACTTCCTGTCTGTCCAATATAACAGGGACATAATTCCTGTCTGTCCAATATAACATGGGCATACTTCCTGTCTGTCCAATATAACAGGGGCATACTTCCTGTCTGTCCACAAAACAAGGGCATACTTCCTGTCTGTCCAATTAAACAGGGGCATACTTCCTGTCTGTCCAATATAACAGGGACATACTTCCTGTCTGTCCAATCAAACAGGGGCATACTTCCTGTCTGTCCAATTAAACAGGGGCATACTTTCTGTCTGTCCAATATAACAGGGGCATACTTCCTGTCTGTCCACAAAACAAGGGCATACTTCCTGTCTGTCCAATTAAACAGGGGCATACTTTCTGTCTGTCCAATAAAACAGTGGCATACTTCCTGTCTGTCCAATATAACAGGGGCATACTTTCTGTCTGTCCAATATAACAGGGACATACTTCCTGTCCAATATAACAGGGGCATACTTCCTGTCTGTCCAATAAAACAGGGGCATACTTCCTGTCTGTCCAATAAAACATGGGCATACTTCCTGTCTGTCCAATATAACAGGTGCATACTTCCTGTCTGTCCAATATAACAGGGGCATACTTCCTGTCTGTCCAATATATCAGGGACATACTTCCTGTCTGTCCAATATAACAGGGGCATACTTCCTGTCTGTGCAATATATCAGGGACATACTTCCTGTCTGTCCAATATAACAGGGACATACTTCCTGTCTGTCCAATAAAACAGGGGCATACTTCCTGTCTGTCCAATATAACAGGGGCATATTTCCTGTCTGTCCAATATATCAGGGGCATACTTCCTGTCTGTCCAATAAAACAGGTGCATAATTCCTGTCTGTACAATTTAACAGGGGCATACTTCCTGTCTGTCCAATATTAGTTTTTTACAGGTGCTAATGAAGGATCAACATTTTCTTAAATACAAGCTATTTTCATGGTTCAGACAGTGCTGTTTTATTGCACACAGTTGTCTTGAGTAGTTTAAAACTGTGTAGTGAAGTTCCCGCTCCAACACAGTAAGATTGAAAACAACAGTTGTGTAAAAGATTTGTAACAATATTTGAAAGAAAAAATAAGTACAAACTGATATGAAAATATAATACATGATATTTCTTTTATTGTCCTTGTTTACCTTCCAGAAATCACTTATACAATGCCAAGAACACATAAGACTAATGACTAATCATTAACATTAAACATGATTATACGATGAATATGATCACTACAGAAACAGGACTACTGCTGTCAGGATGAAGATTAAAACATGTCAATGATGAAACACACCACATGATTATCAGAAACAAAACATTTAAAAACTGACACAAAAAATGAATACTTAATGCAAATTGTATAAGAACATAAAATGTATACAAAACCGGAGAACATATACATGTATCTACATAGGAATATACTACCCACTTGTTAAAGCTCAGAACACAAGCCTAGTTAGGTGAATATTTCATCTTCTTCATTTATTATCTAAACTTTTTCATCTACTATTGTTTTAATTAACATCTTCAATTAAGACACCAGATTTGAGTTTTTTGAAATTGTACGAGAATAACATATAGCCTGTCACAGTTCAGTAACCTTAGAAACAGATACCTAACAAGGTAATCATGTCTGGGGTCTAACAAGTCGAGTTAGGAGCATATTACAAACATTGTTATCATCTAATTAGCAGGTGTCTTCATTCATGATGATATATACATGATAACTGACCACATACATCTTTTATACACAGTTACAAAACGTCCATTCATCTCTCAGACAAAACTTCAAATGGTGGTGTCAATGTCCCTCTAAACAGGAGTGTCATGTAAACCCAGGACATTTTAGTTTTGTTTTCTTGACATATTTGATATTGACACCAGCTACAAAGGACACAATGCTATCTTTATTAAATAAACCAACGAGGTTCAGATCTATTGGTCGCCCAATACTTGAGTGAACATCTTCCCAGTGGTGTCCATATATCTAGTAGACATGTTACCTTAACAGTTCATCTCAAACCTTCCAGTCTAGGGGCCTGTTCGTTTATGCGGAACAACCAGTTTGATCGTTTATAAACGTAACAATTTCGGGTATAAAACCTGGCGGACCTACAAATGTTTATGCAGGCCTTGCAGGGCTCTGTCAAGGCTTGCCAGAAAGCAGTATCAGCTTACTAGGTCCAACCTTATTTAATAAACGAACAACTGTGGTCTGACCGGTTTGACTGATTAAACGAAAATGGACCAGATGTTTGTATGTAGGGTGGTAAAAAAAAAGGGAGGTTACTCTCATTTTATAAAGGTCTTGCTGACTACTTTTGAAAATTCAGCAGAGCATAAAACTCAAATTTACACCATTCACAAATGCGGTATTAACATTGATTTCTATTAGTACAAAATAAAATGTTAAGATGAAACACACTTTCATCTGCTGTTAAGTTCACTTTTTCTGTTAAATTAAAATCCACAAGTATAAATACTGGGAATCAGTGGTCAGATAATGCCAGAAACGTTACATATCACTAAACATCACAAACATCCAGCAATGCATCATTGTTTACCTCGGGGAAGATTTTAGACTAAACAGAAGTCACAGGGTGACCTTTTCGTAAAAACTAATACAACCCATAAAAAGTCATTTGGTTTTACCATTTTATAAAAAGTCTTGCACAAAACTAGGTAAAACTTAGCTTAAAATCAATAAATGATACATTCATTAAAATTAGTTGACAATAAACTGTTTCAAATAGTAATTCTACCCACACATGGTTGCTAATGCTGCAAAAAAAAACAATTTAACAGATCCTCCTTTATCAAACAGCCGCCTATATTACCAAGACCAGCAAAACACTGACAACAAAGGACTTTTAGCAATTATAAAAATAAGACATAAGATTTCTGACATCTTAATTATCAAATGAAAATCATTTCTATAAAGACTGAAATTTCCTTAATTATCATTTAATAAATTATATTGAATAAATCATAGAAATAATATTTGAAGGTTTCTGGTTTTGAGGTAAATAGCATAGTATTACCTGACAATACAGTTTTGAGCTTCACAACTCATGACCTCAACAACCAAGTACTTTTTGTGATATGGGGATTTTCTCTAATTTCATGACAACTTAACCATTCAAAAATATGTATCTGCCACTATGAAATAAACAAGAGATCCAAGAGCTCAGCTGATCTTTGCTAACATTGAAATTGCTACATGTCTATCAAAAGATCAAAATAAATACAAGATGACAACAGGCACAACTTCATTAATTACTTCCTTTGATGTTTTACCCCTATTCCTATATTAGGCCTCAAATCCATGTTGGCAGTTCACTATCATAGGATGTTCTAGATCCACAAGTAGGCTTCTACCCTGTGTGCTCTCTACCTTAAAAGAAGAGTTGACAAATGGATGAGGGACGTTCTGCCATAGCACAAGATCACTTGCCCTTGGGGCAGGTGGACAGGTGAGCTCACATATACCAACAACTTCATCAACATGAAAAAATTCCCCTTCACAAATAGTTTGAGGAGTCAAAATATACAATTTTCCACAAGTGAAAAATGTCCCCTAAAACAGAATGACCTCAATTAAAAGAGCTGTCATCAGTGGCACTGGTACGTTTGGTATAAACTGTTTACTAGGTTTGATCACATCTCATCAGTGACTGGTCCACCACCAGGTCCCATTTGTTCAGCTTTCTTGGTGTCTTTACATGTTGACATCAAAATTTAACCCCATAGTTATATCTGAGGTCAAATCAGAAATGGCGACATCAATGTTGTATTCCTGCCGAGCGAGCTGTGGATTTGTGGTTTAAATTGATGATGATTGCATTGTTGTCCCGTCTCACGCACTGGCTGCCCGATACACAGCAGCAATGTCACTGTCTCCGTACCCAAGCCGCCTCGCCTTCTTGTACAACTGGAACAAAAATAACGCGGTCAACTCCACTGATCCTGTCAAGGTTTATAAAGAACAATACCACACGTTCATGTTCAGACAAATATCATTCAGTTTTACATTTCTCATTAATGAATAAAGTAACACAGTGACACTGAAAGTAACCCAGTAGTCGACTACTAACCTCATTTGCTGCTGCAGCCACATAAAGTGGCTGTTCTACTTTGTCGCCTAGCAACAAGGCAAGACGAAGGTCCTTTTGTTGATGCACCAGAGGGAAGTGGGGGTCATACTTCTGGTTCAGTATGGCTGTAAAGGTCAAAGGAAAAATTAACAACAGCATTCAAGAATTAAAACTTCTGAATGTAGATCCTGAGATTTTACACACATTTTTTAATTCTAAAACTGTATTCAATTATTTCATATTGTCACAAAAGGTCTGATATGTTCCATGTTTTAGGAAACTGTACCATAAGAGAGAGACTATGTACCGTGTTCATTATTAGTGCCCATTATACATTTTCGGAGTCTGGAAATTTGCAAGATTGTACGACAGTGCTATAGAGTTACCTACCCTGACTTTTGTGTATGATTGTTGGACAAGAAAGGGCTCCTATAGAGAACACCTCAGCAACATCCTCCTGGTCCAAACCCACTTTTTCAGCCATTGCCATACCCTCAGAGAGACAAGCCACCACTGATCCCATCACCATATTGATGATAAGCTTCATTCTGGTAGCCTGACCAACGTCAGCTCCTGGGGGGTATTCAAATAAGTCACATGACAAGATAGTTTAAAAACATTGCATATGTATCAACATTTGTGCTATCAATAGAATAATTTCTTATTCTTATTTCAATCATAACTTTCAAGTCTGAAAATATAACAAACAAAAACAAGAAGGATATACCAATTTCATGTTAGTCAATGATTAGGTCAAAAAGTATTTAAATCTATTTCTCATATTGAAAGAATCATTGACACTAGATTGGTATCTCACTGAATTTGATCTCCTTGCATACCTCTATTGACTTTTGCAATGAGCCATTAAAATCTGATCATTTATCAAAGTTAACTCAAGCCAAGCAAAACTGGATCATACTCCTATCTTCTCCCCCCCCCCCCCCCCCCCTCTCCAAATGTGTTAATTTCCTACCTGATACTTGTTTAAGGTATAACAATCGAAATACTTAAGTTGTATGTTCTGAGATACACGTTATGTGACAACACATTTTACATAGTCTATTATAGAACTATTTTCTAAGCACTTCTTAAAAGTCTCATCTGCCCAATTGCCACTACAACCACAACCAACCAGGATGGGTAAATAGTAATATGCTATAATTTCTCGTTACAATTGCTCTTTGATATATTTTGTGTCTCCTACAAGGTTTCAGCTTAATCTACTGTGTAGAAACTGTGATTTTTTGTTTTGACAAATCAATAACACGTGACAGGTCAGATAAACAACCTTGTGTAGTAGGGATGGTGTCAGATATCATGTGCTCTAACCACTTTCAAACTCTGTGCTGCAAACCTATTCAATTTTTCCACCTATCACCAAATTATGAAAACATAGTATCACTATAATTGTTTCTTCATGTTTACTAACCTAAATATAAAGACTTCTTGCCAATTGCTTCAAAACACGAGAAACAATCATCATATAATTTGCGTTCCCCGGCTGCTAAGATGACGAGTTGTCCCTCCAGGGCAGGGACTCGGCTGCCAACGACAGGCGACTCTAAGAAGACTCCTCCCCGCGCCATAATGGCCTCCCCTACATCCTGCATCGTCTCCTCATCAATTGTAGACATCTCCACAAAACACTTTCCCTTGGTGATGCCCTGTAGCACTCCCGAGTTACCAAACACCAGCTGTAATATACAACACATTGTATACCAAAGGACCACTTACTTAACAGGAGAGTTTAAAGGTTACACATTCGTTACACATGTAAAAACATAAACATTCTCAACAGCTGAAGAAGCACAACATGCATCTCTCAACACATCAGGTACATTTGTAGACTTTTGGAAATCTCACCAGGTTCCAAGTTGCTACCCAAATGTCAAAAGGGAGATAACTTGTAGTAGAATGAGTCAATCTCATCATAGTAAGGGATGTAACTCTGCTACACTTCCTGGAAAAAGATTTTTTTAAATGGTCAAGGTGATGGTCTTTTTTGAAAATAAGTTGAAGAATTGCTCATGTAAATATTATTTTGCAAAAAAAATTCACTTCGCAAAAACTTAGTTGATTGTGACTGTACTTACACATCTGTATAAAAATATCATCACTTTCTCACAAATTATACCTTATTTTCCTATTTATCTACCTGATATTTTCAGATTACCAGGTAATGAACAAAACTTTAAAGGATTCCAGTCAAAATACAGGTAAAACACTGAAGAATTCCAATGCAGCTTTCCATACATAAAGCATTATTTTTAACACTCGAAATGTTGTTGATTTTTTGTTGTTGATTTCATCATTTTTTCATAAAGTTTTGTGTGGAACATTTCTATTTTTAGAAATCTCTGATTGAAGCTAAAGCCATGTTGGAACAAGTTTCCAATGCAAAGTTACCTACAATACTAGGCAGTGGTACAGGTATCCTTAAAGCCTAGGTAACCTGACCTTGAACTTAAAAGTCTGGTACTCACATCTTTCACTGCAGTAGAGTCTGCCACACAGGAGAAGGTGATATCACAGTTCTGTATAACCTCTGCGGGGTTGTTTCCCTTTAATGCTCCGGCTTTTACAAATTCTCTGCACTGCAAGTACAAAAACATACCAAACCATCAATATACATTGTTAAGTAGGAGATAGCAGAGCTACACTATAATTCTACATCAGGTAATCCTCCTACAAGATGCCAAAATCCATGTAATCACTAATCCTGCTGTTTTGTTTAACTTTTTCTCTATTTTTAACACATCTGACCATTGTAATCTTGAAAATGGATCAGTCATTCATTAGAATAAAGCTAAAAGCTCTTTACTTGGGCAAGGTAGATTGAGGTGTGACAGAGAAATCTCCAACCCTTTTGACAATTTTTTGTTGTCTAGCCTGATGCTCTGCTGAGGGTTGGACAAGGAAATAATCAACCCAAGGCTGGAGACTTCCCTGTTACACACTTAAGGCAGGGGATCATTATCATCATAATATATCAGTCACAACTCCACCGACAGTAGTAGTCTAGCATGTTTGAATATCGCCATTCACTTATTATGATCTCACAATTTTTCTTGTTATTATGCATGAGGGGGTGACAAGCTGACCTTTCTAAAACAGGATATACACATGCACCTGTAAAGGCTGGGAGAAATAGATATCATCATCCAATGATTCATGGCCCTGTAACAGAAGTCAGTTGGTTCTTTTTTTGCCAATTTACTTCTATGACCTTGAGAGATGGTCATGGAAATTCATAAAATTCATCGCTCTTGGACTCATAGTTCTGAAGGAGAAGCTGTTTTAAAGATCAGTTGATGACAGACAGTTGATGCTGCACCATCACAAGCATATTAAGGTATTCCATGTATAATTCAATTTTTTGGAAGTGAAAAAATACAATTTTTAGTTTCTACATACGCGTGTGAAGCATTTCCCAAATTTTTATGAAGTTTTACCGCATATTTTTACAGTTTTAATGCATTTTATAAGTACACCACATGGGGGTCCCTTTCTGTTCAGAGTCCAATAAAATGACAAAAAAAAATCATATGGAGACAGTAATGATTTTATTCACATTTTGCAAACCATTTACTTTTATATACCGACAAATTACCCAAACATTGTCCATTACAAATATGAAAAAAATAACTCATTACAGAAATTCACAAAAAAAATGCATTTATTAATATTCCATATTGCCATGAAATTCAAACTTTTGTACTCCATTTTGCATGATAAATGTTGGAAAAAATGATTTGTTCAACAAATTATATCAGATATAGTTAAAACAACACTTTTATTTTCTTGCAAAATCTCCTTTCAATGTAAAATACTGTCGTAATAAATCCAAATTTTACCATCTAAATTTTGAAAAAAAATGTAAAGGTGCGTATAATATTAAAGGGGGAAACAACTTAGTGCGGAAGATGTACAGCTGTATATTTAGTAAGTAAATATTACAGGAAAGGCAATAAAATGGAAACTAACAGAATCAGTATTAATTTATGAATGTATCATGGGGGATGATGAGAGCTACTGATGGTTCTAACTTGTCCTTATGACAACTTCATTCGTCAAAATGAGTGCAAATACAAATGATAGACCATACTTGTGTTTTGATACTGTATACTAGGAACTTTTTGCCCAGTCAAACTTTCGCCCTTCGCCCAATAACTTTTTATGAGACCAATTTTCACCCAGTGTTAATTGTGCTCTTCAAAATGTCTGCTATGCGTATTATGTTGTTTACTGATCTAAGAGGGCGAAAATTAGCTCATCAAAAATTTCCGGGTATACAATAAACAATGCTTGCACACTATCCCAATACACAATTCAATACACTACATACATGGATATAAGCCCAGCCTGTTCACATGGTGTGTCCTGTTAGATGTTAATTTCAAGGTAGACAAGTGTAATTTCATTATATGCCATGACATGTCAAAGATTGAAATTGACGTCACACACAGTACATGTCTGGAGATACTATGGAATGTACAATAATTCATCTCTATCGATCATTATATATATAGAGTTATGTTTCTGAGTCTGGTCAACATGGTTCTGGCCATTCCATAGCTACTTTGTAAAAGTCCTTATTATCATATTTCAAAATATATACATATGACTCAACAGCCTCATTTGCATATCACACAGACTCATTTACATACTGATATAGGTCAAACTGCCTAAAGGCAATGATAAAATTATTCCCTTCAAGGAACCTTGTCTCACTGTCGACAAAACATAGAATTCCAATGTAGTTTTTATGTATATAGTGTAAACTCCCCTTAATTTTATTTTGGATATAACTGTAGCTAACCTTGACCGTGACACTTCCACTGACCAGATAGCTCTGTTGGTTAGAGCAACAACAAACTTAACGGAGGGTCAGGGTTCAAAGTATGTCAAACTCAAGATAGTTTTGTTTATTTCATCTTCATTGTCTCCCAATGTATGGCCTTCTTATCAGAATTGATTTATCCAAGCTATCAAGCTTATACATGGATATAAAAAAAAATGCAAGAAAAACAATTTTCAACGAATAGCGACAGTTTTAAAGTGACAGTGGTACAGCTAGGGACTCTTATCTCTTTCCGTACTGTTATCGTATACACAGGACAACAGTATGCCATCCTGGTCCCTGTTGTACAGGACACAACCAAATTATATGCCGCTCATCCCCATTGTCGTGTATACACGACAAGGTTATACACGACAAGGTTATACACGACAAGGTACTTTGGTGTTACCTGTCTTATGTTTAGCTTGTTATACCACACGACAGTCGCGTAATCAAATTAATTGTCGCTAAACTCAGCACCCATTAGTTGGAAAGTAATATTTTTTACTACAACGCTGTTTTAGATACTTGAAATCCTATTATTTGTTGTCGTACAAATGTTGATTTCTCAGTCATAATGCCGCTAAAATGAAGATGTGTATATCTATGTGTACATCTATGTGTATATATATGTGTACATCTATGTGTATATCTATGTGTACATCTATGTGTACATTATGTGTATATCTATGTGTACATCTATGTGTACATTATGTGTATATCTATGTGTACATCTATGTGTATATCTATGTGTGTATCTAAGTGTATATCTATGTGTATATCTATGTGTATATCTATGTGTATATCTATGTGTATATCTATGTGTATATCTATGTGTATATCTATGTGTATATCTATGTGTATATCTATGTGTATATCTATGTGTATATCTATGTGTATATCTATGTGTATATCTATGTGTATATCTATGTGTATATCTATGTGTATATCTATGTGTATATCTATGTGTATATCTATGTGTATATCTATGTGTATATCTATGTGTATATCTATGTGTATATCTATGTGTATATCTATGTGTATATCTATGTGTATATCTATGTGTATATCTATGTGTATATCTATGTGTATATCTATGTGTATATCTATGTGTATATCTATGTGTATATCTATGTGTATATCTATGTGTATATCTATGTGTATATCTATGTGTATATCTATGTGTATATCTATGTGTATATCTATGTGTATATCTATGTGTATATCTATGTGTACATCTATGTGTATATCTATGTGTATATCTATGTGTATATCTATGTGTATATCTATGTGTATATCTATGTGTATATCTATGTGTACATCTATGTGTATATCTATGTGTATATCTATGTGTATATCTATGTGTATATCTATGTGTATATCTATGTGTATATCTATGTGTACATCTATGTGTATATCTATGTGTATATCTATGTGTATATCTATGTGTATATCTATGTGTATATCTATGTGTACATCTATGTGTATATCTATGTGTATATCTATGTGTATATCTATGTGTATATCTATGTGTACATCTATGTGTATATCTATGTGTATATCTATGTGTACATCTATGTGTATATCTATGTGTATATCTATGTGTATATCTATGTGTATATCTATGTGTACATCTATGTGTATATCTATGTGTATATCTATGTGTACATCTATGTGTATATCTATGTGTACATCTATGTGTATATCTATGTGTATATCTATGTGTACATCTATGTGTATATCTATGTGTATATCTATGTGTATATCTATGTGTATATCTATGTGTACATCTATGTGTATATCTATGTGTATATCTATGTGTACATCTATGTGTATATCTATGTGTATATCTATGTGTATATCTATGTGTATATCTATGTGTACATCTATGTGTATATCTATGTGTATATCTATGTGTACATCTATGTGTATATCTATGTGTATATCTATGTGTATATCTATGTGTATATCTATGTGTATATCTATGTGTATATCTATGTGTATATCTATGTGTATATCTATGTGTATATCTATGTGTATATCTATGTGTATATCTATGTGTATATCTATGTGTATATCTATGTGTATATCTATGTGTATATCTATGTGTATATCTATGTGTATATCTATGTGTATATCTATGTGTATATCTATGTGTATATCTATGTGTATATCTATGTGTATATCTATGTGTATATCTATGTGTATATCTATGTGTATATCTATGTGTATATCTATGTGTACATCTATGTGTATATCTATGTGTATATCTATGTGTATATCTATGTGTATATCTATGTGTACATCTATGTGTATATCTATGTGTATATCTATGTGTACATCTATGTGTATATCTATGTGTATATCTATGTGTATATCTATGTGTATATCTATGTGTACATCTATGTGTATATCTATGTGTATATCTATGTGTATATCTATGTGTATATCTATGTGTACATCTATGTGTATATCTATGTGTATATCTATGTGTACATCTATGTGTATATCTATGTGTACATCTATGTGTATATCTATGTGTATATCTATGTGTACATCTATGTGTATATCTATGTGTATATCTATGTGTATATCTATGTGTATATCTATGTGTATATCTATGTGTATATCTATGTGTATATCTATGTGTATATCTATGTGTATATCTATGTGTATATCTATGTGTATATCTATGTGTATATCTATGTGTATATCTATGTGTATATCTATGTGTATATCTATGTGTATATCTAT